AGCCCAAGAAAAAGAACGACTACCATAATGCTTTGTCGACGGGCGAGTGGAATGAGCAAGTAGAGATTCTGAACTAGATCTCAGAGACCTCTTAGGAATGTAAGGATGAATGATCCAGAGAGTATCCTGGAGACACTTGAGGAAACATTTGGAGAGCGTATGAAGAACAGTCCTGCTCATATTCGCAATCAGATTCCGATGATGAAAGTTTAGATGAGGCACCAAGACGTAGCACCAGATTACAGAGAAAGCTGCTTAACCAAAGATGTCAATCCATGCAATCCTCTAGCGACAAAAGACTTCAACGTTTAACCGCCATTGATGATTAAGTGTACTAAATCGACTGTAAATTATTTAAACATATACAATATAATGTAATATCTTTATATAATGAAGCTAAGTTTTTTCCTACGTTTGAAGACAAACTTAATTTAAGCAGGGGAATGTGGGGATGCTACAGGGAATAGCCCGCCCTCAGTGTTTATAATCCATCCTGTAGTTTTTAAGCGTCGTTTTTAAATCCTATGTCCGTTATTGTTTATCGTGTATGTCGCCGAGAGCTCTACATTGATAGAAGCGTTCTCATAATTCTGTTTACATTCCCCGCCATTACTGCTATGTGATTGAAGGACGTCGCTGTCCTCTTTATTAGTGCTATGTTAACTGCAATAAAAGTCAAATTCACCATCGGACCAAACTACAACTGAGAGACGTGTTTATTTCTGTTTGTTCGCCATTCCTTCCAAAAGCGACGTTAAGGCGAAATCATAGACAAAAGAGTTTCCCCCTAAGAGCCGAATAAAGGTTTAATTAAATTTGTAATAACTTACAATTACAGCTTATGTGATATGTATTCATGTATCTGTTATCTGACGTTATCATTTTAAAACATATGACTATCAAGTATGTGACATTACCCAATTCTTGGCTCTACAGTAATAGCTCTTGGCTCATCTAAATTATCATAAATGAGTTTGGTACGTTTGTTTGGATCGTCCAGGCTTGCAACTTCAATGGAATTTGTTCCCGTGTCAGTCCAGTAAATGTTACGGTAGACCCAGTCAATAGAGATTCCATCAGGTATGTTAGCCCCAGTTACAATAACCTCTGGTACACCATTGCAATTGACATTAGTACGATAGATCTGATTCGTTGACACGTCTGACCAGTATACCTGCATTGTCTTGAAATCATAGTCTAAAGCCACGGCGTTTTGTTGATTTTCTGCGATCGTACGGTATTCCCCCGTAAGTGGGTCATATTCATTTACGGTGTGAAGGTCTGCAAAAAGGATGAGTGGGTCTGCATCTACAAAAGTAGAACATTTTATTTAGTATAAACTATAATAAATATATAGAATGTAACTTAAATTGTTTAGTTTTTCCTACTTTTTATATCAAATATCATTAAAAAAAAACACGACATTTTCGTTGTGTCGGGTAATACAGCCTGGTTGTAATTCTGGTGAAATGAACTTTCTGGTCTATGACGTTTTTCTTTATGTGGTCCTCATATCTACACCGTACTTCGGATCGTCACCGAAAAAAAACCAACTAAATAATAGAAGTCCCACTGATCGTCATTTTGGGGATCCCAAAACGTCGCAAATACGTCATCACGCAAAACCTTCGAACCTACGTGAAGATCACCAGAAGCACTTTTGTAAATTGCATAAACAGGCGTGTTGAGTGGTTAAAAGATGTGAAAAAAAAAAACATTTTTCGAAAAAATAGAGGAAAATGAATTTATGTCGTGAGAGGGCGTATACCTGGCAATTTTGTAGAGGCGCTATATTTGTTTTAATTTGAGGGGTAATTTAATAGTTTGCATTCGACATGTGAATCCTCTCTTTGCTTTGCTACCAAGCCTCGCACACCACTTTGATTTTCCCGCCAACCTCCCCTGCTCCCTCCATATTTATCAGTGCACTAGGTATGTGCGCGTGTACCCAGATTATTAGTAATTAATTAGTTTTTAGGTATATTGATTTGATGCTAATTTGTTAAATTAACGTTTTACAACTCTTCATGTACGATTTATATTGTAATCGCCATTGAAGTATTTATGTATTGATCACGTGTCAAGTATATGTCGAATGTAACCGTCTGAACTTATATAGTCATTCTATATATTTATCTTATATATTTTTATATACTCTTTATATTTAATCTTTAGGGGCAACCTTATGTTCCCATTCTATAAAATGTTCATGCTAATATAACGACATCAATGGGTGGCTGCCCCATTACAAGTTTTGAGTTATCTATATATTAAATTGTTTTTCGTCATTGAATAAAATGACAGTTCCCATCCAATCCGGTGTTTGCTTTCTTTGTTTCGTCTTGTACTCGCGTCCTGTGGCATAAAATAACATATCGATATAATTTCGTGTAATGCTAACTTATATTATTTCAAGAATATTTGTATTTTAACATTAGGCCTAATTTAATGAAATGGGAAAAAATGTCTACACTGGTATGTCACATATGGCGTCGTGGCTTCACTTTTTGTCTGTACAATGATGGACACATGAGCAATCCAGCTATTATAATAGAGATCAAAGAGAAGCCAAGATTCCTTTTCAAGATGATCTTGCGATTTTGCCAGCTAAAGAGTTTTTTTTTTTTAATTAATGCTGCTAAAAAATCTTTCTTTTTTTTTCAATTAGGCTGATAATAATAATGAAACATGCCAAAAAAAATGTGCTGGACTAACAAACATATACATACAAATTATACAATAAATATCATGCTTTTGATATAATTTATTACCATGGAAATGTACGTGTAAGTTTATATTAACAATTTTCAATCTTTTAATAAATTTACGTAGCCGGCAATGCTATAAAATTGCCTATTAACAGCTTTTACAAACTGAATATATTTACAAAAAAAAAAAATCCTGTTGACCAAGCCCAATAGTTCCGAAAATAATTGTGCAAGAATTATTTTATCCACTTTACAATACTATTAGTATCATAAAAGATAACGTCAGTCAAAATGTATGTAATATCTCGAAACCAAGCCCATAGTAACTTGATTAGAAGAGCAGGGTCTTCTTTTCAAGATAACCAAAGAAGACAATTTGATACAACAATTTGCTTCGCTGTCTAAACAAGTAAAAAAGACCTGATAAAAAGTTGTCAGAAGGAATCAGATATATGCTACATGTTACTTAAAACATGTAAAATACTACTTCCAATTTTGAACAAGATTAGCATAATATTATAATGAAAATTGGTCAATTAATCTATTCCTGTATTTAATTTGTAATCCCTTAGTCATAATAATGTTTTCTTGATAGGAATTTTTTAATTTCATTCATTTAAAAAAATATAAATTTGACGTGGATATTTTTTTAAGCAATTAGAATAAAATTTCGATACAAAAATCCCCTGCTGTTTATGAGCGCTTGGAGCATTTTGGACCAAAGCGAGATCAAGAAATTCATATGGATCAAGCTACTCACACTGAGAAAGTTGGTACTAGTCCCTTATTATTTTGTTTCTCTCAATCTGGATAGCGCCACAAACGATTAAGTTTATTTAAAGCAAATATCTTATAACATCAAGATAGTATTCTCAGCAATTTCTGCGTGCAAATTCTATAACAACGCAGTGTAGTGCTCGCAATTACAGTTGGTTTTTATGATTTTGTTTTTCTTACTGAACTCCGACGTTTTTATTTGTTACGCGTAGGGTCGCGGGGAGCGCAAATCTTGTTATTACTTTGATTTAGAGACGGAAAATAAAATGAAGTTGGGAACACAAAATGGAATTTGATATGATGCGCATTAATCACAATAACAATTTTAAGATTTTTACATTGGTTCTTCCCAGTGGTTGTTTAAAATTTCTGCATTTTTGTATGGGCTACCGCTTTATCACTTTTTTTCTTTTGGTAGTAAGAGTTAGGTCACTCAGCTTTGTATAAAGAGCAGCCCTTAAACGTAAAAATAAGCAAAGGTAGTATCTAGGACGATTTAGTTTACTCTGAGTTATGCGGCCTCTACAGCTAATGTACTAGTTGTGTTGGTCTCCCTTTCCACGAGGTTCTACTAGAAATGCCGGATTCCTAATGATGTGTGTCACATACTTTGCCCAGGCATACATGGGAGAGGCCACTACAACACGCAGGTTGTCAGTTTACCGGTTATACAGTAAGTATGTTGTCAGATTGGCTTATGACTTGAGGCCAGAGTTCGATCTCGACGGTGGGAGGATTTTTTCAATTCCATTTAATAGCTACTGCCCGACTTAAGCTTGAGGACCCCAGTCAGTTAGGCGCTATTCTGTCATCGACTGTATAGACTGGGTGCGTTGGACTAATAGTTTTAATTAGCTTGACATTGTAGTTAGAAAATACACCAAACATAATTTTGTTAGGTGATTTTAATGCTCGAGTCGGTGATGGCAGGGCAGCTTGGTCAGCCTGTTTAGGGAATGTTGGTGTTGGAAAGATCAATGATGATGGACCGAGGCTTTATGAACTCTGCTCTTATTTCGAACTATGTATTACTAATACATTTTTCAAATCAAAGATATTTCACAAAGTTTCTTGAAGACACCCCAGGGACGTAGCCAGGATTTTGTAAGGTGGGGGGGGGGGAGCCGTTATGCGAATTACGTATGACCCCGGCGGGGCCAAGGGGCGAATCCCCCTGTGAAGTAGCGCACCCTGAACGTTCTTAGGATTGTATGAGAGGATAAAGTGAAAATTGCAATAGACGCATTATAAGGACAATTCAATTATGGGATTTTAATATATCATTGTAAATATAATAATATAATCATATTTACTTAACTTTGAAGTTAATTAATCAACGCACTGTATTATTTTGAGAAGATAAAGTGTTTCGTTATGAAACGATTGTCAGTAGCGCGCATGCGTGCTGAATGTGCATATTTGGAAGGAGACAGCGGCTGCAGGGTCAGTCGAGTTAGACCGAATACGAAGTGTAATCATGGTGACGGCCTGTTGATGGGTAGTGATAATGAATGTAAATTTAGCGGAGTATGAGAGCCTGAGAAGCTATAAACCCTGCCAAAGAAGTAAGAATATTTATTTAACGATGAGTAGGGTTTAATCTTGGTTTAGGTTTAGGTTTATATAATTAGGCTTGGATTACGGTAAAGGATAATAATGGATTACTGCATATCATCAGGGATAGGAATAAAGTGTTTAGGCCTAATAGTGATCGCTAACAGTTAAGCTTTGATTATTTATAGTGAGTAGGCCTAGTTGTGTTTCTGCAGTTCATAGAACGATCGTATTTGTGTTAGGTATGCAATAATAACATTCAGTTTAATCAGTTGATATGGTGATAGCAGCCATGTTGTGTCGCATGTGTTTACGTGAAGTTGGCGGCGCTAGTTAAATAGTCGTATGATATAAGGTTGAAGTTGGTGGCGCTATTTAATTTACTTAAAAGACGGTAGTTTTTAGTTTTTATAACGCCTGTCATTGTGATATTCTTCTGGTTGTTTTTACAGATTGAATAAAACAAGCAATTTTACAGTTGCATTATACATTAAGCAGGAAGTTTCTAGACTGTTCGTTTTCCGGGTTTCTCTGACAAACCATAAAGTGAGGACGATTCTTTATTTTTCGTAACGATTATCTTTTTGTTTTGAAAGTCTATCATCTAGGCCTATGCTTAGTCGCTAGCAGGCTTCTCTATCTAGCCTACAATATTCTTACCACTTCTTAAAAAGATACATTATTCTGATTTATTATCTAGAAACAAACATAACTCCTTTAAGACATGGTCCACAATTAATCATTTACTTAGGCGTAAAACTAATAAACAAGATTTACCAGACAAATTTTCTACTATTAAATTCATCCACTCAGAAGAAATTACTTGTCCAAAAAAATTATTAATGAATTTAATTACTATTTTACAAATATCGGTTCTAAGTTAGATTATGAAATAAAAAAAACCACATGCCACTTTTCATCTTACCTTTGTAGACATTGAACTCTTTTTCTTGAATTTTTATTCGTAAATGAGGTTTTTAATTTGATTTCGTCATTAGATAAAGTAAGGCTACTGGTTATGATAATTTACCGGCCAAATTAATTTTCCTTGCTGAACCCCATATCCCAATGCCTCTTTGCTATATTTTTAATCTTACTTTTGAAAAATCTGTCTTTCCAAATGCTTTAGAAATTGCTTGTCTTTCACCGGTATATAAAAAGGGTGTAAAAACAATATTTGTAATTATAAGCCTATTTCTGTTCTACCTGTGTTATCAAAAGTCTTGGAAAAATTATTTAATTCTCGATTGATTAACTATTTTGAAACATTTATATTATTCCATAAACATCAGTATGGTTCAGAAAAAAAATCAGTATCAAACTCTCCTTAATAAATTTGGTAAATAATCTCCAATTTCATCTAGACAATTCAAAATTTATTTTCTGTATTTCTATTGTCTTTTCCAAGGCTTTTGATACAATTAATCATGATACATTACTTTCTAAACTAGGTTATTATGGAATAAGAGGTAGACCCATAACGCTACGCTGGATTTCTAATTACCTTAGCAACTGAGACTTCAATTTGTATCTTAAAATAACCTTGTTTCTGATAATTTACCTATTAAGTTGTGGTGCCCTCAGGGATCGGTGCTCGGTGATTTTTTTTTTATTTTAGACATTTTGTTGATGATTCCAATTTATTTAAGCCTTTATCTGGAAATCTGTTAAACCTTAATGAAATTAATACACAGTTTCAAAAAGTAATTGATTGGTGTAATGCCAACAAATTAACAATAAATACCAATAAAACCAAGTTTATTGTTTTCCATTCAAAAAAATAAAAATATAACCATTAATGGCTCTATCAAGATAAATGAAATTTAAAGAGCATTTTATTGAATTAAACAACAAATTTAAAAAAAAATCGGGTTGGTATCTTGTTTAATTACGGCACTGTATCCATGGGACACACTTAACTATGCTTTATAATGCTTTTATTCAGCCATATCTAATTTATGGCATTGAGGTATGGGGTAATATTTATGAATCTTATTTAAAGCCTTCGCCTTTATAACATGGAGAAATCCATGTACAAAATTATTAAATTATAGTGAAAGACCACATACCTTTCAATGGGAAATTAGCTATTAAAAGCAACACAACCAAGTGACCAGTTGGCATGTCCATGTTGAAGAGCTTATTTTATCTTTGGTTGTTCAAAAGGTACAGGGAATGCCTATTAAATGACGATGAGGAAGTATAAGTCTTTTAAATACGCAGATGTGTCCATTGGGTGTTCACCCGGAATTACTTAAGCAAAAACCCTCGTAAAAACAATCAACTGTATATCATAATGGAAATGTGTCGTTTGCTAGTATAAATGTCATTATCTGTAATATATGACTTATCTTGTCATTATATATTTCCCTATAGTTTGCTCTCCGTAGCTTTTCAGCCAATCACAGACTAGATAATATTACAACTGAATATCCATAAAAGGAAGAATACAGGACAAATAAAGACTGAATAAAAGCTACACTTACAGCAACACCACTTTCAGATTTTGCTTAATACTGACTAAAGTTAAGTCTAATTATTTTTTAAAAACTAATTATGTATGTTCTTTTAATTATTGGAAACTGGCCCAAGTCAACTCGACCCATATTAACTCGGCCTCCATTTCAACTCGGTCTCATGTCAATTGATTATTGGTGTTAATGTTGCCTTTTATTCTCTCATTCATGATTTCTTTTTTTTTTATACGCTACGTTAATTCCGTTATATTTAGATTCACTTCACTGTTGGGAATCCTATCTCAATGGTTTTGATATGTTCACAGTGTTAAAGAGACGTGGATATATGTCTCACTACCTCAACACAAATACTTTCGAGGAAATTTATCAATCAGCCTACAAGTCACAGTACTGAAACAGCATTAAACAAATTATTGAACGATATATTATTTTGTTTATTCATAATAATTACTCTGTGGCTCTCATCCTTATCTGCTGCCTTTGATACTATTGATCATAAAGTTCTTCTCGAAGACTGTCAAATAATTTCGTTTTCTCTGGCAGAGTTTTTAAACGGTTCTCCTCATACATTTCAGCTAGAACTCAAAACATCAATACGGTATTAATAATTCTTTTTTAACTTCGAAATTCTAAAATTGCGGTATCCCGCGAAGTTCTTTACATCTTTTATTTTCGTTATATCTCTTCTGTAGCCAATATCATTCGTTCACACGAAATCCAATTCCATGTGTATGCTGACGATATACAATTATTTCTTCCTTTCAACCCATCTAATCAGCTTTCTGATAAACGTCAAAACTGTTTTTGTGAAATCGAATAATTGATTCGTCATATAATTTGTTAAAACTTATTCCAAAAAAAAAACCGAATTTATTATATTTCACTCTAAATTTAGTTCATTACCGAATAAATTCCATCGCTTGAACTAAATACTGTACAGTTGAAATTAAATCTGCAACATCAGTCTGTAATCTCACTTTCCAACAGCATATTAGTTCCATCTGCAAATCATCTAACTACTATCTTCGAAATATCCACCGAATCAGACAGTACCGTGACAAAAACTCAGCTGAAACTCTTGTTCATGCTTTTATTTCACCAAAACTCGATTTATGCAATTCCTTTCTTTTTCGGCTGCCATCTTCTCTTTACCGGCTTCAAAATACAAAATTCTGCATCCAGCGTGTGTACGCTTATGTATTGATTGATTTAAAATTGCCAAGTTGCAATGATATTTTAGGGCCGGGTTGACTCGATTAAGTTTCGCCCACCATATCGATAGTGATCTATATAATTAAGCTGTTGTCTCGGTACGTGTGTTTGTCCCAATGTTAGAAATTTGGTGGGGAAATCAATCACAACTTTAATGAATAAACCCCTTGAGTATAATTCACATATCTTGGTCACATTATGTGAAGTATAGACCTTTATGTGTCGGGGAACTTCCTAAGTAGGCAGTTCAATTTATGTTCTGAAAAAAACTAAGTGTGTGTTATTTAATAGTTTTTGCATAAATATGTATTGCTCAAACCTGTGGTCTGATTAAAATTTAAAAAACTATGCAATGTCTGAAAGTATGCTATAACAACTGTCTTAAGATGTTTCTAAAGAAGTTTTGCAGTGCTAGTGATCTCTTTGTCACCACTGGCTTACCGTCGTTTGGTTAATAATATACGAGAAAGTTGGTTTTTAACTGTCTAACAAGAATTGACAAGTCTACAAAATTATGCTTGTTTATACCGAAATAAATTATATATAGATATATACATATAGATGTATACATACTTATATATATATATATTTATATTGAAATACAC